AAATTTAAATATAATAAGTCAAAGCATTTAAGAGATATGGCTCTAGAAGCCCAATCATTAATTGGCCGCCAGTCAGCCATTTTGAATCCAATCTGAAAAATAAAATGATGAGCATCAGGAACTAGTAATGACTAATGTATGTACCAAGTTTGAACGAAATCCACCCATAAATACTTGATATTTGATGATTTTTTAGCACAAAAATGACCACCATTCGGCCATTTTGAATAGGATCGTCAAACCAATATATCTATGACATGATGTATAATGAATATTTAAAATTTGAAAATATTATCAGTCAAAACAAATCAGATATATGGGTCTAGAAGCCCATTCATTAAAACAAAATGGCCACCAGACAGCCATTTTGAATCCGATCTGAAAAATAAATGATGTGCATCAGGATGTATAATGAATATTTAAAATTTGTTCATAATCAGTGAAAGCAAGTCAGATATGGCACGAGAACCACATTCATTAAAACAAAATGGCCACCAGTCAACCATTTTTGAATCTTATCTGAAAACAATTATTTGCATCAAGGTCCCATAATGTCTAATGTATATACCAAGTTTGAACAAAATCCATCTGTAAACAGCCGAGAAATGCTTGATTTTAAAGATTTTTTTTAGCACAAAAATGGCCTCCATTCGGCCATTATGAATCAGATCGTGAAACAAATTGACGTGCATATGTGTAATACACACATGTATCATGTATGATGTATGTGTGAAGTTTGATTGTGATTGGTCCAGGCATTTCTAAGATACAGGTTCCGATGCACGCACAGACGCACGCACACACGGAGGTCAAAACATAAGTTCTCGTTTTCGGACTGGATCCAAATGGGGACTAAAAATACTGTATTCCACTGCGTAAAGCATCCCTCCCACTTTAACGCGATTTTTATATTCGCAAAATCTGCCACCCCAACCAAAAATCTGAAATTTGTTGACTAGTCATGAAACTTCAATCATCCCATGGTATCATATGGTAGTGAGAGTTTTGGGGGGACTTTTCAAGGTTTTTTCAAAATGTGTGAAATGGCACTTGGGAATTAACTTTATGTAGTGCCATATTTATTTTGCTGAAAAGAATGTTTTTTTCTGGTGTAAAAATGCATGTTTTTCTCTTCTTTAAACAAAAGCATAACCTCTTCATTAATATTCATGATTGACAAACGTTAATGAACAAAGCCTAGATAATGAAAAGTAGTAGGATTCTAATGTTTGTCATTTGTAAACACCTACAGATAAGATATGCACACTGTTAGTTTTCTTGACAAGAGAAAGCTGCACGATAAAACCACTGCCACATTACTGGAGGCTGTTTGCCCAGCACATTCTCTAAAATATGCTCGAGAAGCAATTTATGTTGTCGCAGAAGCATTGGAATTTGGTACATTGAAAAACTTGCAAGAATGTACGCCATTGGCACCAAAAAGCTGATCAAACAAAATCAAATCTACACAATAGAAGATTTTCGATCAGCAGTTACCGTAAAAGCTCAATCAATTCGGCCACTCAAATAGTTCGGCCACCTATTTTTTGCGTCATGGTTAATTTTAAAATGTATCTGTTTAGTTCGGCCATCTGTCCAGTCAGT